CATAGTTGCAAGAGATATTTGCATACTGCTTCTGGGAATTATAGCAGCTAGAGTCACTATTCAAGTACAAAACATGGCTGGCTTTTCTTCACTGGTCTGCGCAACTACCATATAGTGTTTAATAGACCAGCCTGTTAAGTGCTATGTACTTCCTCATGTCTTAGAATGCCTCCCTACAGTTTTGAGCTGGGAGATTTGGAAGACTAGACCAACCAGTTTGATATGTACAAGATTTGAAGGCTCAAAGGTTTCTACTTACAGAGTTGCGGAACAGGTAAAAAGATTGATGATTCTAATTCTTAACAAACACTTTCCATATCTTAATTTCAGAGGAAGTTGGAAAGAGTTGTGCAACAAGATTGAAAGAGCAAAGCCAACTATTAGCAGATTGAAAGAGCAAAGCCAGCAAGAGTTGTGCAGTAGTTTCTAACATGTATTTATGCACTTTTATTTTCAGTTATTTTTATACCCTTCAGGGACATGTTATCTCAGATGTGAGTCTATCTTCGAGCTACATCCAAACTTATAGTCTATGTATACAACACTTTTTGTACAAGGATGAAATTTTCATCCTTATTAACCCCCATCATTAAAAACATAGTCAATACCTGCCATCCATATCTCCAATGTCATTGTCTTGCCTACAATGACTAGCATGTTAACCAAGTACGCCACAGAAGAGAAGCAGTGATTGCAAGACATTCAAAACACAACGGAATGCTTGCAATCATCTTCAAATCAAAAGACTACTACGTTATGATGACAGAAGAATGTAAGTATACTATTGGGGGTGGAATCTCAGCTGCAAAAGCAATCAAAACAGTCCACAGAGAGGAGAAACAATTAATCTTCATAAACAGGATAATTGTTACAACACTGCAACTACTGGAAATTTTATTCAGATTAGCCAGACACTAAAAGCAGGGGAAGAAGTAGGGTTAGGAAAAATGGGAGGAAACACAGAAGCCAAAACCAACCCTCTCAAAAAAGAAAAGCAAAATATGATAACACATGCCATTCACAAGAGGTGTCTGCTAACACAGGCCATTCACAAAAAAATGGTAACACAGGCCAAAATCAACACAGAAGCACTTTTCTGGAACATAAGAGGTGTTAGATCATACAAGGCCATTCACAGGCTGAAAAATCTAGTCCATGTCAACAATATTCAATTTGTAGCCATTTTTTAACCCTTTGTTGGTCAATAAAAGATAGATGGTTACATAATTGCATGGTACAATTTACAATATTTCATGAATAGCATCAGTGCATCACTAACACTTCAATAGCTGAACATTTCTAGAGTCCCTATATGTTGAGAGAATGAACGGAAATGGACATAACAAATAACAAATGGGAGATCTCCTAAAATAGTGGTATATAGAATGATGTTAGCTCATACTTAATAACTCATAGCCGACGAGGTTGATCCTAGAAAATACTCAGCTAACTAAATGGCCGACAAGGCCTCAATCAGAATAAATATGTAATAACAAAATCGACAAGGCCGTACTCAATAATCCCTTATAACATAAATGTTACAGCAGTCCAACAAACATTAAAATGCTATAACGAGAAAACAGAATCGACAATAGAGAACTTTGTTGGGGGATACAATAATTTCAAAAAAAACCACTGGAAAGAGTTTTCAAGCTATAAAAGTACGTGTAATATAATCTAAATATGAAATTATCTCGAGATTCATTAGGCAATGATCAAGAGGGCTAGCTTACAAAACTCAAATCACCATCAATTCAGTTAACAAACTAGTCCACCAGGAAATCGGAAAATACACTTTAAGTGTAGCCAAGAGTATTAATGTTTTCTACTGTCAAGAGAAAGTAGAGTCGCAACAGAGAAATGAAATAGAGATGCAAGAGAAAGATACAGTAGTAGTAGAAGAAGAAGAAATAGTCTAAACAGAGATTTAGCGACACTAACCTTACTCAGCTGTTTGAGCAGAAGTAGCTTCTCTTGGTGAAGGAACGAACATTGCTGCTAGTATGTTAGGATCAATTAATCCTGCACGTTGAAGTTGTGCAACTACATCAGCAATAACTTCTTGTCACATAGTTCTCCTTTGTTCCTCCATTTGTTTCTCCATTTTTTGCATCCTTTCTTGCATTTGTTGCACTACATCATTTGTTGCATTTAAAGTTTGTTCAGAATTGTCAACTTTCTTTTTCAGAGTTGTCTTTGTAACCCCCACTCCATATAGTCTTAGACGTCTCGGATGTTCAGGACCCATGACAGCTGAAAATGCATCAACAGGCTGACCATTTGTGCTCATTTGCTTTTCTATTTCCTCCATTCCAGCCTAACAAAACATATCCAACCAGCAGTCTTGTAAATTAAAATTTAGAATAAATAATTTGTCTTAATAAAAAAATTATATTGACAATATTCGTACAATTTTACTAGTTGTGTTCTCATTCGATGCCTTGTACAAACGATCAGGTTTTCTTGTTCTTGTGACCACAAAGAGCTCCTTAGCAGATACAGATTCATTTTCTTTTTCCTAGTCACATAAAAATAGATATCAGGAATTTCTTAAATAAAAGGTTAATCCTAGATAATAAATAAGAGAACACACCAATTTACTGCGGATTAAAGCAAAACTCTTTTTGCCTGCTGTGTGTGGATTCATCAGCTTTTTCCGGTTCTTAGTATTTGTTTCAGACATTTTCTGCAAATAAATGAATCAATAATGTTAACCAAAGGCATATCGGTGCTACATAATGTACTAGACGAGGTGAATGTCTCAATATTTCTTTTTTAACAAATCCAACTAAACAATATGCTTTGTAAGTACGAACGTTACTGTCATATGAAGCTAAAACCAGTCTGTAGATTTCAACGATCAAACTAAGTTTATCCAAAAGGGCACTTAGTTTAGTGAACCTTGATGCAAATTTCAGCGATCAAACTTAACTAATAAAATAAGTTCTTAAGATTTTTTATTTTTGAGTAAAGAGTTGAACATGTGACTTTTTATCCTGTTACATTTGTATCTTATCAACTACTAAATGAAATTATTGAGTTTGACATGTTGAGGATAATAAAACTTTATGAAACAGATAACAGAAGAGTTCAGTTAACCTTCTAAGAAAAAAGAATAGCAGAAGAGAAAGTTGATTCCCCCTGCAGGAAAGAAATTAGGATGATTCACTTTCTTGGAAGCCTTGCACCCTCAATGAAAATGCAATTGCATGTTATATTGGTTTGATTATCCTTTGATTGTCTTCATTCACTGATTATTTCTTTCAAACTTACTAGCATATCTTTTAGTCAAAGGAAATATGATAAACATAGATAATAACAGTTACAGCCACCCTTTGGTCAATCATTTATCTTCTTCAAGTCAGAACACAAACTGCAACAACATTGCAACAGAGAAGAGAATAGCATAAGAAAAGTTAAAGAAAAATAAAGTTTCAGCAACAACTATATCACAAAAGAGATCAGGAGAAGAATAAGCTGGATGTTTGAGATTTTGAACTACATTTTACCTTGAATTTCTCAGACTTCCAATATTTAAGGAGCTCTCTATATGGACATTCTGGAATATGACCAGGCTTTTTTGCCATTCGAATTTCATCATTGTCATATGGATCGTAATAATTTATCTTTAAGTCACGTCTATGCCTTCTCCAAGCCTCTCGAATTGTTACCAAAGCCCAATCTTTTGCAGCTTCAGGAATAATGTATTTCTCCTACAATTTGGTGTCATTTAGTTCGCCAATTGAAGTAAAATATTTTTACAAGAAATTAAAAACTAGAAACTCCAAACCTTAGTATAATCCCATAAATCTTTTTTAGTATCCATGCTCCTCCAATCAAATATATCAAATGGACAGAGAGTAGCATTTCTTGCCAATGTACCTAGGAAGCTACTTAACTCTGTCACAACGTCTTCAGTAGGACCAATCGGTTGATTTAGCCTATTCAATAAGATCAATTTACGCTCTTTTCGTGTATGTACATTATGCATTTGCGTTTGACCTCTTTTGTTTTTACTGGAAACACCTTCAGCTATAAGAAAATATAAGAAATTAGAATTCATAGATGAATTTAGTAAGTTTCTAAGTTTATATCTTACCTTGTTCTTCAGGTTGTTCACCAGTTGGAGGAGTGACAGAGTTCTACACTTGATCCTCTATAGGTTGTTGCTCAAGAGGCTGCTCCTCTACAGATTGTCCATTAGCTTCAGATTGTGGTGCTACTGGTTGTTGTTCAATCAATTTAAGCAGTTGTCCTTTCTCTGACTCTATAGCTTGAACAATTTCATTTGTTGTCAATAACCGTCATTTTTTATTTTCCAAGAATGATAATGATCCAGGTTTAGCATATGTCTTATTTTTCGCTCTTTTGTTTCTCTTTGAAGACTCTTGTTGACTCATGACTATCCAAATCTGTGTAAAAATAAGACAAAAGAAGCTTCTTAGTGCAGAATTTTCAAATGTGAAGAACAAAAACAATGAAAGTAAGAAGAACAAACAACAATAGGATCAGTAGCTGAAGCATATTATTAAGAATAATTCTCCTCTTGTTTCTTATTTGAAAAAAATTGCTGGTCAAGAGATCACATTTCAACCATTCAACAAGGAAAATTCTAGCTCAGGGAAGATGAATAACAAGCAATGGATTCAAGCTGAAGTTGATTAACTAATTTATATCTTAACTAGTTTGAAATCTAACTTTCGAGAGCTTGCTACTCAATGGGATTTTAGAGAAACGGCAGAAGATGCAAATAGAAGTATAACAAAGCAATAAACAAAGAATCTTAATTACTAATATATCTATAGTACGTACCAACATTAGCAAGAAAATATTCCAGAACAAACAGAAATCAAACAACTAGAAGTAGCAAATAGGCAGAAATCCAAATAGAGTCCAATCGACATTCATACTTTATATGATGCAACTCAAAAAGGTATTTATTACTCACTACAAAAAAGTTAAGAAGAGAATGTAATTGAACAAGTTCGGGAGATCCTTTGTCAATCATCAGCCTCCATCCAATCCCAATCGGTATCATCAAAGTCATCCTCCTCTTCTGATGTTTCCATAGTTACATCTTCTGAAAGTTGTGCAAGGGAAGACAGATCAATGATATCAACAAGGAGATCTTCTCTCGACCATCTAACATCTACATCGAGCACTATTTCTGATGAACCAATATCATCGTTAGTCTCTCGCCAAAATGTTTCTTCAATATTAGGACAATTCTCTTCCTCCAAATCATACAAATCCACTGGGACTTTATTTCTTGCATAATATACATTTTTCTCAATTGAGTCTTCCACATAAAAAACTTGATGCACTTGAGATGCTAGTACAAAAGGATCATTTGTGCTGCATTTTTTATTGAAGTATACCCGAGTCAATCCATATTCATCAACTTCATTATGAAACCAATCACATCTAAAAAGTACAACACTAAAGCAACCCCAATAATCAATCTCAATGATATCCTGAATAATTCCGTAATAGATAACCATTCCATCGATAGGATTGTGGTCCCTAGCACTAGCAAAACTATCTGTTGTTGCTGACAAAGTCACTCCACTATTTTGAGTCTTGCAAGGATCATCCCGTGTCTTTGTATGAAATCTATATCCATTAATAAAATATCCAGTATATCTTTTAGCCACAAAATTAGGCCCTTTAGCTAGCCATCTTAAGTGATTGGACACTTCAATATTTTTAACTTTATCCCTAAACCAATCACTGAATTCTCTACTATGGATCTGTGCTTTTACCCATGCATTTCCTCTGGTACGATTATCAATCAAATTCTTATGTTCCCTGCAAGCATGATATGCAATTTAAACAATGTATATTTATTAATGGAATTTAAAACACATTATCATAACATATAAATGATTTTTAAAAACAAATTACTATTTTATCTTACTTTATGAATGTCTCTACTTTTTCATCTCCAGTATTGAACAAAGCATATCGATGAGCTTCAAACCACTCATGATGCTCCATGTTAAAAGTCTTTCCTTTCCTTTTATTCATACTTCCGATTGGATGACCTGTTTTAGGAAATAAAGGTGAAACATCTCCTTCCTCTATTTGATTGTTCTCATCATCCTCAGTTTGATACCTACTAAATGTTGTCTTCACCATATCAGGTAGGTATCTCGAAATAAAGGTCAAACACTCTATAGCTGAAAAACCCTCTACTATTGCCCCTTCTAGATTTTTTCGATTACGAACAAGCCCCTTGAAGTCACACATAGTTCTTTCAGTAGAATACATCCAACGCAAATGAGTCGGGCCTCCAAGCTTAATTTCATCCACTAAATGAATAGGTAAATGTGTCATTATATCAAAAAAGGACGGAGGAAAAATCTTTTCAAGCTCACATTCTATATCTATGATTTCATCCTTCATCTTCTCAAGATCACTTCTTCTTATAACCTTACTACATATGGCTCTAAAATAATTTCCCAACCTAATCAAGACCAAAGACACATTCTTGGGCAACACTTTTCTGACAGCAATCTGGAGCAAGTAATGTAATATGAAATGAGCATCATGGCTTTTGTATCCCGATACTTTCATATCTTCAATTTGCACACGACTTGATATATTAGAGGCAAATCTTTTTGGTAATTTGGCACCTTTTAAAACAGTGCAAAATAATTTTTTCTCCTCTGGTTTCATAGAGAAACAAGCTTTAGCCAAATGAATATTTCCAGTATCATAATCTTTTACTGGTTGAAGCTCTTTGCGTATCCCCATCTCATGTAAGTCATAGCGAGAATTTATATGATCTTTGGACTTTCCAAGTATATCCAATAAAGTCCCAAGCAAAGTGTCACAAATATTCTTCTCTATGTACATCACATCAAGATTGTGCCTCAATTTGTTGGTTGCCTAATACGGCAACTCAAAAAATATGGATTTTTTTTTCCATGGACCATCATTCTTTCGTTTTCTTTTCTTTTGGCTCTTTCCAAAAACATTATTGAATTCACGAAGTTCTTCAAGAACTTGTACGCCTGATAAGGGAGTAGGTGCAACTTTATGCTCTTCTTTACCATTAAATGATTTTTTATCTCTTCTATATGGATGATCATGAGGTAAAAATGCTCGATGACCCATATAACACATCTTACAACTATGTTTGAGATATTGGGAACAAGTATTGTGATTACAAGTGGGGCATGCCCATTTCCCCTTGGTACTCCATCCGGAAAGCATTACCAATGCTGGAAAATCACTAATTGTCCACAATAAAGCTGCACGCATCATAAATGTTTGATTAGTTACAACATCATATGTTTCCACTCCCACTTCCCATAGTTCCTTCAACTCTGCAATCAGTGGTTGTAAGTATACATCTATATCATTTCCAGGAGACGATGGACCTGGAATAATCATTGACAACATTATATACTCCGACTTCATGCAAATCCATGGTGATAAGTTATAATTTATCAACATAACTGGCCATGTGCTATAGGAAATGCTCATAGTTCAGAATGGATTAAAAACATCGCTTGAAAGACCCAATCTAACATTACGAGCATCACTAGCAAAGTCAGGGTGCAAGGAATCAAAATCCTTCCAAGCTTCCCCATCAGCAGGATGTCTTAAATTTCCATCTTTGGGTCGTTCAGTATCATGCCATCTCATAGCTACAGATGTTTCAGAACACATGAATATCCTCTAAAGCCTAGGTTTTAAAGGAAAGTACCTTAAAACCTTTGCTGGAATTTTAGTGACCTTATTAGTCAAGTCATCACGAACATTCTTCCATCTAGAAGATCCACACACTGAGCACTTGTCTAACTTTGCAGTGTCATTCCAGAATAACATGCAATCATTAGTACATGCATGTATTTTTTCATAATGAAGACCCAAATCTTTTATCACCTTTTTTGCCTTGTAGAAAGACTCGGGTATCTGAGCAAAGGGAAATGCCTCTTTTATCAAGTCTAACAAATCTGAAAAGGCTACATTACTCAACTTGTGAATGCATTTAAACAAGTATAACCGAATGGTGAAATTCAACTTAGAAAAGTTCTTACACCCCGGATACAACTCTTGTTTCCCTTCTTCCACTAATTTAAAGAATCTTTTTGCATCTCCAGATAGTCCCTCTCTTACTCCTTCATGCCTCAGGTCATCTGCTACATTTCTAAAAGTATCTTGAAGTAGTTTATCAATACCGTCTTGTCTGTCGAATGTTTCATCATCATTGGTTGGATGTGGCATATTTCTTGAGGAAAACCCTTCTCCATGGAAAACCCATTTGGTGTATCCATGAACAAACCCATGAAAAATCAAGTGATCCTCTACCACATTTTGACAATGCCAATAACGATTAAAGCACTTTTTACAAGGACATAATATTTCATCTCCTTGGGAAGCTCGTTCAAATGCCTTATCTAGGAAATCATTAACTCCATGAATATACTCATCGGTGGATCTTCGGAGATCCATCCAACTTTTATCTCCAACATCCATTGGATATCCTATGCTACATGAGCAAAACATTCAAGAAAACAATTCATGAGTACAAATCATGATTATAAATGATCTAATATAGGTCATTAGGTAGTGCAATTTAGTTACATAACCTATATTTTACTTGATAGTTTAATTCCTCAATTTATTCTATAGTACATTGCAGGTACTGCCTTACTACACAGAAAAAATGACAGATTATGGTGACTACTTTGTTTCTTTTCAAGATCACTTGAGCTGACCTTCAAGTTGGTTATGCTTTAAGTATGAGTACATTTAGATTAATTCTAAACAAAAAAACAACATGATTGCATAAAGTGTGCTGTGAGGACAAATTTAGCATTTGATTTAAGTTGCCTTTAGCTTGAGAATTTGAGAAGCATCTATGCACCTTTTTTTCTTTTCACTGAAAGGTATAGGTCATGATTGTATAATTGTATTCATATATTTTACATTCTACTGCAGCGATAGCAATATTCCAGCTTTGTTCATCCAAAATACTTGATGAAGAAGTTGAATCTATCTAGCGAAGATGAGGTAATTATCTTCTGTTTTGGCAGTTTAGCAATCAATAAATGTTATTCACATTTCCTGTAATTCATTATTCTGTAGGTTGAAAAAATTTATGCAAGGGCATGATTTCCTGTAATTCATTATTCTGTTGAGTGTAATGTTGCTCCTGTCAAATTTAGAACTTGGTTTTCAAGAAATGTCCTGATGAGAACATTTTAGATAACTTTAAACTATTAACCAAACAGCAGTACATATGAAAGTATCCCAGGGTAGTACAGATCCTAGTGCTAATGAGCAAGAGTATAATTGATATAACAGGGGACACTACATCTTCACTGCATCTACTACATATTCATTCACAACAACTACGATAATATTAGGTGAACTCACTAGGTTGAGGAAAGGAGAAATGATCTGGAACACTATTATGTAGCATAGACAAAGAGTTATATTATGCTTGGCCTATTTAGAACAAGTTGCTAGCAAAGTTCCGGCAACAAAAATAAAATGCTCCACTTAAAGGGAATGTGAAGTTTCTATACCTTGGAGGATAGAGATGTCGAAAACGTACTTCTTATCAGCCATAAAACTACAGAAATCACAATGGTCATAAAGTGATGAAACAAATGCATACATTGTGGTTTTCCAGAACATGGAAGCTTAGGAACATAATTTTTTTCCAACACATAAATAAACATACTAGAATAGTCATTACGTAGATAATATAAAAAATTAAAAGAGAAAACATGAGCAATAGGTTTCAACATCCAAAATCCAATAAAATGGAGTTTTCACCAATTATTTTATATATATTCCACATCAGTTTAAAACATATTTTGTTCAACTTAAACGTATCATCTATGACAGTAGCTATATCAATATACTTTGGCAACATTCATAATGATACGCAAATCAAAATACTTCAAACTTTAGACCAATGAAAATTTTTAGTTCACATAAATAGACCAAACTCATAATGCAAATCAAAATACTCAAAGCCCTAGGACAAAATCAACTACAAAACATTAGTTGTTCCATAAAAACAAAACCCAACTTCACAATGATTTTTCACAGAGTTATCGAATCTTCAAAAAATTTGAGTTACAAACTCTAAACTACAAATGGATTATGTCAAATAGACCTAAATCAGAACAAATAACATACATTTCAACAAACCCATTTGTTATTCTTTAAAAAAATTTAGAAGCCCTTAAATGAAATTTTTGATTTTGGAAAATAGTACATGTATAACCAAATAGAGACAATGAGGAATTAGAAATCACCTTAAAAATAGTATACCTTTATCTGCAGAAGCTTAATTTTGAAGAAGACTACTTTTGGAGAAGAAGACCACTGAAGATGAACACTTCACACTGGAGAAGAAGACCAAAATAGCTTATCACTGAAACTGATTTCTTCACCGGAGCTCAAAATTTGTTGTCAAAGATGAAGGAGTCACCGAAGTTCTGGAATTTTAGGGCTTTAATTTTGATTATTGGAGAAGAAGACCATGCACTCATCGCTTTGATTTTGGTTTATTGGAGAAATGGAATGGGTATTTAGAATGTATTTTGTTCACTAAAATAAAAAAAAGTGCGGGTCAATGAAATAAGTGGAGGGAAATAATTTATTACACAGAAAATTCCCGGGTTGGGCAATTTATTTTTACTTTTCACTTAAACAAACCGTTGCCACAGGTGTTATTTTGCCACGGTTAATAAGTATGTGGCCATAAATAATCTATAGCAGCGATTATATAGATAATGCCACGGTTTATATTAAGAATTACTCTATTAGTTCTAAAGATATATGGCAACGGTCATAATTGTGGCAACACATACTCTATTGCCACGGTTGTAAAATTGTTGCCGAAAAAGTGTTGCAGTAGGTCAAATTTCTAGTAGTGTAAATCAATAATCAAAGTTATAAATCTAGACAATGAGTACCTATTTCTTTAAGCGCAAATCATGCATGTCTAGATAATGTAAAGTCTTTGATGGTAATGCAAAGTCTTAGCATCAAAGTTTGTAAAGTCTTTGGTTCAAGATGATGTGATGCTTTAAGCTTAAATCATATAATCTTCACCTTGGACGGTGTAAAATCTTTGGCTCAGATGATATAATCCCTTTGGCTCAAATCATGTAAAGTCCTTGTCTTAGACGGTGTAAAGTCTGCAGCTTGGACAACATAATTCCATCATCTTAAAATATGTAAAGTATTTGCCTTAGACGGTGTAAAATCTTTGGCTCAGACGACATGCTTTGCCTTAGATGGTGTAAAGTCTTTGACTCGGACGAGATGATGCTTTTGGCTCAAGCCATGTAAAGTCTTTGTCTTAGACGATGTAAAGTCTTTGACTCAAACAATACAACATCTTTGACTTAGATGGTGTAAAGTCTTCCTCATAAGCAATGTAAAATTGTTGCCTCAAATAGTGTAACAATTGGATTGAATGAATAAAACAAAATGATGAAAGCAAGGTAAAAAAAAACATAGGTTGACTTCTGATTAATAAGCTACTTGAATTATAGTCATGAATATAGTGCCTATTGATTTAGGTAATTAAGTTATTAACAAACCAATTGTGGGAGCAATCATGTTTCAGTAACTACAATGGAAGCAAAAGAAGAAGAAAAAAGAGTGAACAAAATTGTCCTATTTATTTCACGTATTAATATTTCTTTGTTCCAGACGACACAAAGCATGTATTTCCAAAAAGGATAAGCATTTACAACATGTGACTAATAGAAGCAATTAATCAATCAATAAGTTACTTCTTCCTCCCCAAATCCGAATGCATTTTCCCCGACTACATGGATGGTGAATCTTGATTTCCTGTGAAGGATAACTTCACCATGTTGTTTATTTAAGCTTATTAAGCCGGCTGTTAATTAAATGACAAGTTGTTGAGAACAAAAAAATAGCTGGTATACGATAGCTACAAACACCAAGGTCCTCTTTCGGAAAAAAAATCAAATGCAAAGCAGGCAAAAGGGATGACAGAAGTAGAGTTAGGCTCAGAAAAACATAAGGGAGAAGAAAGCCAAAAAAATAAAGCGAGACAAAATGACGAATACACCCAAGTCAAGCAGCAAAAAAATTTGAGTCTGGATCTTCGTCGAGGAAATCACTAGAAAAGCATAAGGAAGAGTTAAAAGGAAGTTATTTTAGTCACTCTCATATAAGTACAAAGTACTTGTTTGATTAAAAAAAAAATTCATTTGAAAAGTCAATAAAAGTGGCTAATTTTTTTAATTCTCCTCTCAACTCCAATTTTTGTTTTTTAAAAAGAGAGTTTACAAAGGGTCGTAACGTGATTAAAAAAAAGGAAAAAAGAGGTCATTCGAGAAGCTTACCAGAATAATTGATAGCTGGTCTTCAGGATTTCTTGGTGAAATTATGAATGAGTTTGGAAAAATTAACCGTTATTTATAGACTAGCTAAAAGAGATATTAAAGTCCTAACCCAACACAAATTCAATATTTGATAAGTCAAATATTTTTGTTGGAATAAGACGGTAATAATTCTTTTCAAAGTTTAATCCTACAAGGACTCAAATTCTACAAGGATTCAAATTTTCTAAAAGAGACCTAACATACTGAGGCGGAGGATTATTATTTGCTTCCGACAATAAAGGTGCAGTACTAGTGAATCAAGTCTCCTATATGGCTTCAAAGTGTTAAACGTGATGCAGTAGGAAGTTGGAATAAGCTTGCTTCCTACGTGGCTTATTTTTTTTTTCCCTACATAATGGAATAAGCAATTGTTACTTTGTTATTATTAGGGTTCAACTAAATATTAACAAATTTAGTGAACTTGATTCCTGTAAGTGAGGAATCTTGCTACCAATCCTTAGCACACTTGCATTGTATCTTAAAGAAAGGGATTGAATTATTATTATTTTATTTATTTATTTTAAAATAGAATAAAATAAAATACAATTCTCCAAGAGTATAATTATCCAAAACTCCTCTACAAATTGGAATATATCTTCACTAAGTACTTCAAGCCCACTCTAAAAAGAGAAATATTTTGACAAAACTTGAAGTAGGGGGAATTTGTAAGCATGAAGATTTTATTGGATTTAAATCCATAAATTAATTTGGATTATATTAAATTCAAGAAAATATTTGAGGTTATGTGGCAATCCAAGTCAAATTAAATAAGCCACTGAAATCATATCACGTGTCAAAGTTATGTGGCAATCCAAGTCAAATTAAATAAGTCACTAACAT